GTGTGTCAAATCTTAGAATCTATCAATCTGCGGAGATTCCAATTTTAGAAAACTACCTCAGGGCAATGTTATTTGAATGACTGGTGAATGAAGCAGAATTAGCTCCCACTTTCATACGTCCGAGTATCAAAGTCCAGGGGCTGAATACGTGCCTCTGTCCATCAACCGACGTTCTAAACCCAAATGAAAGGAAGAATAAAAAATAAAGCCCACGCCCCATAATCCAAACTTGTAATGGTCTCCATACGAGTGTTTCATCCTTGTTACTCTAGAGAGTTGGATTTCGGTAGAAATACACACAATAGGGGGCTTGCTACATCATCATGCACACAATGACTACAGCAGGTGAAAAGAAGCCAACCAATAAACCTGAGGGAAGAATTCAATATGTATGCGTTGCTTCTTAGTAATACTTCTCCAATTCAGTATCAAGATCTTCCGCAGATATCTTCTCAGTACGGCCCCTTCCCCGTCAACAGCCCCTTCCAAATCCATGGCCTCGACCACCACGACCATGTGACCTTCCAAGGGACCACTTCTTTGTCCACTGTATTATAAACATAAAAATATAAAAAAAGAGCATCGGAATTTCTACCAGAAGAGAGGAGTTAATTCTAATCTGAAAATATAAGTAGTAATTTCAAAAAGCCTAAAGAAATGCACCACAGAATCACTGCATCGTGCAATGTCTCGTGTGCAGAAACATATAGCATCATACAACTTCCAATACAGGACATCTAAGGTTGAGTGTCGAACATTGCATTATAATGAACCTGGCAGATCAGCTTAAAGGGCAGCCCAAAAGTCATGCCTCGATGACAAAACTTACTACCAGCAACGTAGGACAGAAAACTACTCTTTTCACCTTTTGTCACACTTTCGCTTTTATAGTTCTTTTAAGGAATACCCCGATGCAAGGATAGATATCTGACAATAATTTTGTGATTTTACGCTGAAACAAATATGCTGTTCTTTATCTACTGTGTGTCATTCCTACAAATTTAATGCTAGTGTAACATAGTTGATTCAACCAAACTTAGTGTCACAATGCAAGTGTATAACAATCCCAAGCAAGGCAAACAACAAGACCTTCAGGAAATTCCAAGATCATCCTACTTACATTCAAAAATACCAGAATGGATGGAGACATTAAGCTACCTGCAGTCCATACCTTTTGGGAATCCCACTTGTACCTTCAAAGGAACCATTTGCAGATGGAGGCCAGCAGCAGGAGTCATGGTATTTGTTCCCACAACCTCAATTTTCATTGGCTTTCCATCAAGCTGAACATTGTTGTAGCTCTTGAAAGCGGATAAAGCATCTTGCCTTCATGAGAAGACAATCTCTGGCATTCCCTAGGGAAGTGCTTTTTTTCTAAAACACAGAACGCAAAGAATCTTCAGAAGATTGCAATATGAAAAACTTCATAAGAGACCTTCGATCTCCAACTCCTAGCATAACGTATTAAATAGACAATTCTTGGTTAGAAAGGAGTAGGCCGGTGGATAGCTGTTTATGTTTTTACTGTAAACACTGAATGGAATATACGTAGAAAAACCAAGTTCACAGGAAACTGCTAGAGCAGACTAGTGTAACTATCATAACTATCACCAAAAAAAACCAATAATTATGAGCAACTAGCCAAATCCCAACTTATAAAAAAAATCAATACTGGGGCAAAAAAATCCTGGTTAGATGTAAATATCATAGACTAAGTTCTGAAAAAAAGAGCCATAAGAAGGTAGCACAACAAAACAAATACATTAATTGAGTCAATTCTTAGAAGAAAACGGATGTGTCATCCAAGAACCCTGCCACAAGAGTAAAGAGAAAAGGTAAACACCATTCAAGACTGCCTTCTCTTGGGTTGAACTTCCAAAAAAAGAAGGAAACGAAAAAGAAGAAATCATCTTCCCCAACTTCAATGTATTTCTTGATCAAATTGTTTGTTCTTTTTTAGAATGCATGCACCCGACACAGCCACATGCAATATCAAATGCCTCCTGTCCCTTGCATTCTAAGCATCATGTCATTTAGAAACCTTAAACACCAACTGCCTTAATAGTCCACTCTAAATTCCATCCTCTCGGCTTTAGACTCCATGCCAGCACCATCTCAAGATAGAAGTTTGAAACATACTGTCCATCGTATTAGTCCACCATTTCATTATCTTTTATTTCACTATTTTTTTTTTCAATATTTTTTATTTCATTATCCACTATTTTATTATCTTTTATTTCAATATTTTCTATTTCAATATTTTTTATTTCATTATCTTCTATTTCATTATCTTTTATTTCAATATTTTTTATTGTATTCTCTTCTATTTCATTATTTACTTGTTCATTTTCAAAATTTTCATGTAAATTTTTTGTTATATTATTTTTGTTACTAGTAATAAATTTATCAAAAAATTATTTTTGAGATTCTATTACTTTTAATTTTGTGTTCTAGGTGTCATATTATTAATATATTATAACTATATAACAAACAAACAAACACAAATAAATACAAAAACACAATATATAGTATAGATAAAATATATAACACAACCTTGAATTTAAGACAGAGATTTTTTTTTTCGAAAACTAAGAAGAAAGCAAAGAACACAAAAAAATTTAAAATTATAAAACAATAGAACCTTAGATGGTCTAAGATGTTGACTTTTGATTTTGAACCATGCCCTTTATGTTGCAATGGAGTCAACGATGGATGATGGTCTAACCGTCTCAGATGCTGCAATGGCCAATGGAGGCTTGACTGGTTGGCTTTACTGTGACTTGTGAGAGCACTCTGAGAGAGAGAGTTTCTTTTTTGTTTTAGTTTACCGAAAGAGAGAAAGTTAAAAGTAATAATTTTACTTTTTAATTTTTTTTAATTTGAGGTGACTTTTGAGTTCAATTTGCTTTTTAACTGTTAATTTTTTTGGATATTTAATATTTGGATTAGACTATTAGCCTAAATGATTGATTGGATTTATATTTTTATAAGGCATTTTCCACATGGGTTATTTATGATATTTAAAAAGGAAAATTTGAAAGCCGGTCCCCTTAGATGGACTTGTTTGGAGATAAGTCTTGTAAGAACACTTATTTGATTATAAGTCCACTTTTTGTCAAGTTTACTATTGTACCCTTATTTTTTGAAAATCCACAAACGGCGTCTAAATTGCCGTTTCTATATCAAGCGGAGAAACCCTGCATTCTTGTCACTTTACATAGAAACTTCCCACTTCATTCTATCCTACAAATCCGGCAAAAATTCCTCAAATCTTTTTGGGTTTCCTTCTCCAAAAACCCTTAACCGTCATTACCTAAACCGCTTCAATTCAAAATTCAAAGAGGTTACCAACTATAAGAACAAAAATAGATTCTACTCTTCAAGTTCCATTGGCGAAGTTACTATTAGAAATTTTATAAATTTTCAATTATTGAATTGTATTTTTACTATAATATTTCGAAATTTGATATTACTGTGAACACAATATAGCCTTGTAATTTGTGAAAATCGATGTGTTACTGAACAAAATACTTTGATGTTATGGCGAAAAATTAAAATTGTGTGTTACATAATATATGTTTAAAAAGTTTGCAATTGAAAGTGAAAAAGTGAATATTGGGGTTGGACAATGTTATGTATAGAATAATCTTTAAACCATAAAATTGTAACATGTGTACTATAAATTGTGTTTGTCTGATGTTACTCAAGATGATGTTTCTGTGATTTAGTAAATAATTTTAATGTTACTATCCTCATGTTACTATGTGTACATCATGTAACTTGGTGGAACTGTTCATGTTACTTTTACTAAATTAATGTGTTATATAATTACATGTGAACATTTTTTGTTGCTTTGTTCGTTGTTTAAGACATTCAAAATTCATTGGTTCAAAGTAACATGAAAATAGATCATGTTACTATGTGATAACTAAAAAATTAATTTCATAATTTCAATGTATTAATGTGCTTCAGTAATGTGGATGTTACTGTGGATATGTTACTGATCACAACCTTTGGTTTTACTTTAAAAATTAAAGATGTATGTTCAACATATATCCCTCAGCGTTTGGTTTTACTTTGATGTTCTGTGATCCAGATTTTGAATTTGAATTGTTAATGAAAATTTTTGATCTTGATTTAAATTAATAGCGCAATAATTTTATCGTAATTCAACTATCATAATATGATATATTCGGTTTCCATAAAAACTAAACAATCTATTACCATATATATCTCAAACATCTAATCTATGATTTTCCATAATTAATCAAAATTAACACCGTTAGGGGTGTTTTTGAGATTAAAAAAAAAAATAGACTTAAGTCATTACATATAGTTTTAAACATGAACTTAGCCCCTCATAAGTGTCTTTGCCGGACTTATCTCCAAACAAATACATCTAGGGGAACTCACCTCCAATTTTTACATTTAAAAATTTGGAACCTCCCTTTGAAATGGTGCCTAAAGGCCAAGCTTTTCTAAGTATGTTGTTGGGCCGGCCTTGCAAAAATCCTTAGCATAACATCCATTTGATCCAATGTTACTTTTCAAATTCCCTCCACCCTCCCCCTCTCCCAAAAAAAATTAAAAAAATAATAGTGGTTGGGACTCCACATGCATTTCAGGTTCACATAGCTTGACATAAAAAGGCAAAATATCCAGAAGTTCGTAATTAAAGCCAGATTCAAACATTACAAACGTAAAAAACTACTCATAAATCAGACTAAGTAATACTTTGTGCAGCCACAGGAGAGACCTTGCAATTAAGGATGTAAAATTTCACTTCAGAACATACGCATCAAGAAAAATGGAAAAATAATGACAAAATAAATCGTAAGAATTACCGTGACGTCTTCGCCGGAGACACCATAATCGAGGTGAGATATAGAAAGCTACGCTCCAGTATTAATAGACGAGGCTCGACCACCGCCCTCTGTGCCGGATACGCCTTGGTTTGATCTGCACCGAACATTTCGTCGCCGAATCTGGTGCGTGAACGACCGATAAATTTTCACAAATGACAACATTGACAAACCAAACACTCCATAAGAAATCAAATCAAGAAAAATAACCGTGTACATAAAATAAATAGCTATGCTCGTATAATCCGTAAGCAGATATATGGATCGAAGAGAGAGAGGATCAAACCGTAGCGATGAGGTAGGTTGGAGTTCGATTAGCACCACGGATAGGAAAGCGGCGAGCGGGGCTGGGTCCAGATCGATCACTGCCACAGAAGCTGCCTCTGTCACCAGCAGGTGTCTTGTACGTCTTGTTCAGATCGTCGAGCGACAGGCCTAGCTCAGGACCTACCATGTCTGATAAACCATAGGCCCTAGCGAGGATAGAGAGAGAATAGAGGAGGAGATCAGAGCTCTTTTCAGCACTGCTTGGCGGGGAATTTATGTTAATTATGGCGCTATATATATACTATCAATTATCGTGTCTACATAAAATCCAAGCCATCAAAAACTCATTTTATTATATTAAATAATAATTTTTTTTAAATTGCAAGTTAATTTTTTTTAAAATACAAAATCTAAAAAAAATTAATATGTATATATTATAGTATATAAATAATATTTAAAATAAAAATTATATTAAGTAATAAATTAATTAAAAATTAAATGATTTAACTTTCTTGTAGAAATAATAACTGATCTAATAAAAACATGGAAATGGAATTCAAATGTTAGTATATATATACTAGTTCTAATCCGTACATGAAGACACGATAAAATATAAAATTCGAGCGTCCAAAAAATTAATCTTATTATATTAATTTTTTTCAAAATATATTAACTACAAATTAATCAAATATTAAATGATTAAATATATGATAGAAATGAGTGATGTGATATTTTTAGGAAAGAAATATATAAATGATTAAACATATGATAGAAATAAGAGATGCGATTTGACGTTTGAATCTGACAAATGGATAATGAGTGAAGTAAATGATTGATGATGGTTTTGAGGGAGAAAATATGACTAGGATAAAATTTAAACATACTCCTGTTTTATTATATATACATATATATATATATTTAATTCCAAAAGTATACAACAAGTAGGTGTCGTGGTGTAGTTGGTTATCACGTCAGTCTAACACACTGAAGGTCTCCGGTTCGAACCCGGGCGACGCCATTCCTGTTTTGACTTCTATGCTTCCGCCTCTTTTTTACTGTTCAATTTTTTTTTTGGCATTTTGAACTGGAGCCTTCATATCTGCTTATGAAATAATTAGTTTTATTTTAGAAACAATTTAGCTATAAACAATGACGAATCTAGGGAGGGGGCAGAGTTGCCTTCTATCCCGAGAGGTTCGTAAAATCTAATTCGTTATGGTATTATTAATCTGAATGTTTTCGATGTTTGTAAGCTTGCCATGTTAAAATTTTGAAATATTTTTTTGGTTAATTTTAGGATCCGATTCTGTTGTAAACAATAAACTACAACATTTTATTTCCATGTTATCGTGGAGTAAATATTCAGTAAAACGATTACATCATATCAATATTAACACGTTATATTACCGTCCAATGCTAAATAACCAAGTGGACAAAGTAAATCAGAGATTAGGTTATAGTTCAAGAAGTTCCGTGATGTGCACGTGAAGATTTTCATCAAAGTTAACGACGAATTTTAATGAAAAAATCACATTGAATCAAATTGCATAATTCTAAGATCTACACAAAGTGACTGTTCTCGGAAACTTAGTCATTTCAAAAAAAATGTACCCTGTCACGTACTCACCACGGTTCAGCTGGTTTCATTTCCTGCAAAATGGAAATATACTAAAAGCATTTAGTTATATGGTTCCCAATCTACTCCTCAGACTTTATTAATGGAGATTAAATTAGGCGTTTTTTTTTCAATTAGATTATTGAATCAAAGAACCAAGGTGCTCAATGTATCCATTGGAAAACAAAAAAAAAAAAAAAAACATCATGAAGTACGAAAACATGCTTTGAAACTGGTTGAGCCTTGGCTATCAGGCCCGAATAGTTGGACAAGAATGGTGTATTTGGCTGGCTCCATTCAGTGTACAACAACCAAAAGATAAATGATACAGCATTGCAAGATTTGGTATATCGAGCCAGAAGTGGTATACTATATAGGCCTTGCTTATAATCATGTCTATACCACCAAGAAATCTGGCTTCCCATAAACTAGTTTTTGAATTCTTAAAAAGGCGTGCACTTTTCTTTCGAATCTAACTGCAAACCTCTGTTACCTCAAGCGCCAAATCATCATCATCATCATAAGTTGAACAGAAATATGCCTCTCAGATGCTTTTTAAGGATGGTCCTGCTAATCAACCTGTCATTTCCATGTTTGAGCCTCTCCGTCTTCAACCGACAAATGCATCGCTGTAAGGCAACTAACACAACAACGAAAAACTATTTCAGGAAAACCTAACACCACATTGTTTTCTGAAGCTCTATCATGCACGCAGGAGTTAGCAACAACATCAGAAGAACACCCGGTATAATTATAATTGAATTCTAAACAACGAGTTATGATAAATGATAGAACATTTTTAAAGCCCATTTTATGCCAAATCGTGAAGTGCATGTTATACAATCCAAATCCAATGTCAATGTCAAACCCAATTCTGCTTAATGAAAACATGAGTTCCTCTGTTTTTTAATCTCACTCGAGTTAGTTGGCAAGTGGTTCTTCCATCCTCCTGAGGGAAACATAACGAAAAACAACTTGACTTTGGGGATCTGAACAATAATAAGCAGCATTAACCATTTGGACTTATTACAAAACTACCGAAAACTAAATCAAAAGGTTCATTACCAACAACCCCACTAATTTCATATCCAGCCAATCCAGCAAGCCAATTTTACCAGAAAATTTTTTATGCACAACTTAAATATAAATATACTAGTTATTATTGTGCTTGAAGGCCCCGGTACGACAAAACAAAAACCAACAGCTAAAAAAAATGAGCATCATTAAGCAAGATAAAAAAGCAATGCACATGATGAAAGCAATAAGTATATAAAGCTGATGAATATATAAAAAAAATGGACAAAATTACCTCAAAAAAATTGAACACATATACACAAATTATATATTTTATCATCACATATTAAAAAGTTATTAGTAACTACACATTAGTAATTGTCTACCCCCGAAAGTACGGAGTAGCAAAAAAAAATTATTGTCAATTAAAAGACAAACCAAATAAAAGAGCGTTTTTCAACATAAAAGAATGTTGCTTTCATTACATCACACTGCACTACTTCAACATTCAACCATTTTTTCACCACAACTACTACCAACAACATATTACATGTAGTTATAACTCCACACATGAACCTCAGATCAAAATAATTGGTGTAACAATAAAATTTTAATAGTTGATATAAACCAGTTGTTATCTTTAATAAAATTTCAACAGAATTCCTTTTAAAAACATGATCCAATTGACAATATCAACATGTATATACCACCTCATAATCAAACCTTTATATAAATAAAAACTATTTTACATCAATAATCTCATCACATCACGTCAATATCGCTATTACCACTATTTATCAACTACGGCAATATAATAACCCACACATTTAACACCAAAATGAAGAAAATACAAATGTAAACTGAATTAACTCTAAACTAAGTTAATATGAATAACCTAGGTAGTGATAAGTTCCACTACAGGATAATACAAGTAGGAAATCCGGTCAAAAGACAAACCCTACAAAATTGATAATACCTTTTTTACACATAATGCCCAGCTAAAATATTTCCTTTTTTCCCACAATTGAGAAACACAAAAAAATTAATTGTTAAACCAAAACATTTAAATCAAGCCAAAAAAGGAAAACTTTGGACTGAAACAATAAATAAGACAAAAAAAACAGTCAATACCAACATAAACCCACTCAGTCCAAAACTCAAATAAGTGAAAAACTCAAGGGCTTTCAAGCTAAAAATAAAAACAAGAAGACAAATACATTGAATTGGGTGCTATCCTAAAAAAAGGCTGTTGCAACAACTTCTCTGACGTTTGACATGTAGAAAAGCACTTTAAAATCACTTGATTATTTATATTGCATGAAAAGTATGTAATGACCTCACGACTCTAATTTTAGATACTCTGGGCTAAAGCTACAACATAGGCATTAACAAAAGAGATGTAATGAACTTCAACCAAGACATGCAAAACATCTGTAAATTACCAAATACTAATTGTAATGTCGATATTAAATTGCACTTGAAAATAACAAAAATATATCCCTTATAAATAGGTAGAAGAATGCACTAATAATAGTTACCACTATTTGGTGCCAAATTTTTCTCAATTATTTTCCAGAGAACAATAAGAAACTTACTATAATCTATGAGTAAAATTTGGAAAGCATGAAAAGTGAGAAAATGAGACATGATTTGTGGTATCATGTTAAGAAAAATTTATTGCATGTGTTGTGTTTCTACTTTGTTGTTTACACATAGAACACACTTGCACAAACAGAGCACACAAAAAGAGAGAATCCCCTCTTTTCAGCTATTGAGAGAGAAGTCGATTGAACCGCCATTGTTATTTTGCTGATTTTTTTGGGCAAAATCAATTGTTGGCGGCAAGATTCTCTGTATTAAATCAAAAAATGCACAAAAAATGTACTAAATTAGCACAAAAATGTATCAAAATCGGCACCAATCCATAAAAATTAAATGCAAGTAGTAAAACAATATGTATACCATAAAATATATATATTGCACCCTCGGAAACTAAAAAATGAATGGTATATTTAGTATTGAATTGTGTCGTAGTCGTTTCTTGATGATAAGAGCAGCAAGCTCCCTTGTTTTATCCATCAGCACCAAAAAAAAATTTAGCCAGCCAAAAAATAGTAACTTGAGACAAAAAATTAGACACTGAAAAATCAAGTTATCTTGTATCTGATGATTACTATGACTGGTAATACAATACCATAGAATGTTCACCAAAATAATTCAACAAAACCCAAAAATCAGTCACTCAAGCCAAAAAAATAGTCACTCAAAAAATCAGTCACTCCAACATCATCCGCTATTGGACAACAAATCCAGCAATAAAGTATGTATCATAACTCCAACATCATCAACAAGAATTTTGCCAGATCCTTCAATCGTTCAAAATCATCAATCTCCGAGCCTCGGTTCTCCACCAGAACTTATTTCCTAATGTCAAAGCCACCACCGAACAACACCCACACCTTAGATTCTCTTCTCTCTACTTCCTTATCACAAATGTAAGTGCCTATTGAATTAATGAGGTATGGTAATGATTTGGTGTGGTGTCGCAAAGAAAACGGAGATTAATCATCACCAAATCCTTTTAGGCATTTTCTCAAACAAGTGGAGGGTGGGAGGTTGATCGTGGTATGTGTCAGATTTGCTAGAGGGAGAAAGAGGGAGAGATGAGAAGGGAAGGGGAGGCACAAAGATTACCAGTCACCGGTAGTTCGTCGGTGCTTTCTTTCGCATTGGCTTTGGGCAAATGAATGACTAGCGCAAATAATATGCTTGAAGCTCTAATTCTAGCAACTATTGGTTCTTCAGCATTTTTGTTATCTTTTCTCTGCCCTAAATGTTCAAGATAGTTCAGGAACAAGAATCCAAATTCAAATATTCTTTAAGCAACAAAAATAAAAGCAGAGATACCACTCAAAATAATCAATCAGCCAAAATTTAACCCATAAAGTGTGATCAATCGAAAAAATGAATACAACCTCGATGGCTGAAACAATTTATGAATCGAGCCATTAAACAAAAGAAAAAATACCCCTACTGTTAGGTCCATATGAATAGAAATGAAGCAAGAAATTTAGAACAATGACAATAAAAGAACTAAACAAATTGATCTAAAATATATTATTCGGTGGTTTGTGGTGGTGGCTGTGGGAATAGGTTATCTTTGTGTCGCATAGTGCCTTCACGACGGGGGTGGGTTGGGTAGTGTGGGGCTTGGTGGATTTCGTGGTGGCGATTGTGGTATTGGAAAAGAGACAGTGGCTGGTGGCTCACTGGCAATGGTCGATTGTGGTGGCTGGCATTGAAATCAGAAAGGGGGAAAATATGTGTGTTGCAAATAGGGAGGGAGAGAGAGGGAGAGGCTTCGGACATAGAAGGGGAGAATTGGGGCAATTAGGGTGTGGTTGTGTTCAACGATGGCTGTCCATGGCTTCAGCTGGCAAAGAGATGGAGGAAACAGGGGGAGGAGGGAGTCAATGGAGAGGGAAGAAAGTAGAGAAGACGAAAAAAAGAGAGAGACAACCGCCTGTGTGTGTGAGACAGGTATATGAGAGAGTGAGAGATAGAGATGTGTGAGAGATGGGACTTTAGAGTTGGAAATAGAAGGAAACTCTAGTCAAAATTTTGGGCGGAAAACGAAATTTAGTGATTAATTAAGATCGTCAGATCAATAATTCTCAAACGATCTCAACTCCGAAAAGCTAAAAACAAACTACGGGTTTGAATTGCTAGCTCCCCTATTATACAGATAATGAGAGTGCCAAAGAAAAATCGAAAGGATAAAAGCATTTCATTCGTGAACAAATCAGCCATACTTCCATCAGAATCATATAATCCATTAACGAAGTGAAATACAGGACACAACCATAGATCGTGAACCAAACAAAACACATGACGATAATGAACCCAATCTGAAATTAAATTCCACCACCAATCTCCCTCAAACCATGGAACTCACCATCCACAAGATTCATGAAATGGTAAATCCCATCACCTCTTCGGTACCCTATAACACCACATGCTTCACAACCTACCCAGACACATTTAAATGCAACAATGAACACAAATACAGGACAAACTGATTTCCATAATTTCCATCCAGAAATCGCCACAAAGGCCTAATGCAAGTACAAACACATGGAACTATCAGAATAAAAAATTACTTACATTTTTAGGCCCAATCCTACACGAAAGTTTTGCCACACTGTCGATGGAAGACTCTTTGGTATACTCCACTATTTACCCTGTTCCCAGCAAAGAACTTGTGCATTCTCTCACTAGAACATATAAATGAAGCATAGACCAAGTCATTCTACAACCAAAAAGCAACATGAAGACTTGATCTATACCTGCACAGAGATCACCAGAATAACAAATGAAATGTTGTTTCAACTAGCATCACTGGATAACATCTTCATCACAGGCAACATTTCAAATATGAAATTTCAACTTAGTAATTCCAGTATTGCAACAAGAAACTTGTACTTAAATTCGTGAGATTCGTACAGAAAAAGCAAGTAACAATATGAACCATATGCACCCACAGCAGTTCTGACTCCTTCAACAATACATCACATATTGAATTACTTCAAAGTTCAAAACTAAAAGTGAATTGGAACACATCTCAACAAACATAATCAACAGGTAAAAGACAGACACCATCGGATGAAAAATTATTAGAATATTTCTCTAAATGTGATGCTGAATGACTAATCATTCATCAGAGAGTTTTCAAACCATTAAGGCCAAAACATTAAAGAGGCACTACACAAACCAAATCCCTTTTCCATAAAGAAGTCATTCTACAATAATTATGCATCTTCAGCACATCAAAAGCAACAGGATTCCTACCTACAATTTTTTGGTAAATTAAATGCAGTGGCTCACTCCCGAAACTAGGCAAATACATAGGCAACTACCAACTTAATAAAAGAACCAAACATGACTTTTATTGAACTCACCAGTCTTAAGTTTGTCCTGCAGCAGAAAGGGATTTTGACAGACACCTACTGAGAAAGATGAAAAAAATTGTCAGATAAAAGTAAACAGGGTAGGAAACATCCAAAAAAGTCTGGTATTGCAAAATTTCAGCCATGACACCCTTCAAACTACAGGGCCTACAAGTCAAATTTTGCACGACAACATGCTAAGAGTTCATTCATCCATCCATCAGTTTCAATTCTAGCTCGGTACAGAATGTTTTATGATCCAACTGCAACAACCAATATAATCCCACCATTTTCAAAAATCAAAACACAACGATTAACTTCTCTCCAATATCATTTTTCTTGTTTAGGCTTAATCCATGCTATAGGTTCATAGTATAACCAACATAATAAATTTAATAATTTAATATTCAGTACCCTCAAAACCTAAAATTTAAAGACTAATGTGTATAGTAAGTGATCCAACTATCAGTCAATCACATGAAACCTAACTCTCAAGAAAATATAATGACCTCACAAAATAATCAAATACACATAAATACCACGAAAAAACAATTACATCATTGAACCAAACCAAAATCCCTTTTTTTTTTTAAAAAAAAAAAAGGATGCAACAAGGACTTCTCAAGGGATCAACCATCCAAATACTACTCTCACCCAAGCATGCTAAACTACAGAGTTCTAATAAGATCCAATGCATTAGTGCAGGTATGATCACACCCCAAACCAACATCTCAAAAGCAACAATTCAACTGCAATAAACCACTTTCATTCTGTGAGCACAGGAAGTATAAACTGCTCTCACTAAATACATAATGAACCAAAACCACAACAAACCCTAAAGATTTACAATACTCATGACCTTCAATCTATACTCATAAGAAAACAAATGAACAGAAGTACGAACATAACATAATTAGAATCGCACATTAACTGTCTCAAATGTGATAATCAACTACATTATTATTATTGGCAACATAGAGATACACAAATTTGACAGATTCAACTTCTACAACTCTATGATGTCCACGACACTTCAAAGGTGGACAAATAGATAAGGTAGCTCCTACAAAACCAACGGAAATCATCACAATATAATTACAGTGGAAACAAATTTTAATGCATACATACACACAGAGCAAATGGGCAAAACACAATTAGGGCAAGAGCAGTTTCATTGATAAATAAGAGACCAGTAATTACAATGACTGTCACCCATATGAAAGGCTAAAAAAATTAAACACAGCAACAGTAAACATGAACCGAAACCCTAACCCTATCTTATAAATTCCCAAAATTCAAGAAACCCAGGACAACAATTTCCTCAAGAACTCGTGAACTTCGTTACCGCCTTAGTCCCCTCAGACACGGCGTGCTTGGCCAACTCACCAGGAAGCACCAATCTCACAGCAGTCTGGATCTCCCGAGAAGTGATGGTGGGCTTCTTGTTGTACCTCGCAAGCCGAGAAGATTCCTGAGCAAGCTTCTCGAAGATATCGTTGATGAAGCTGTTCATAATCCCCATGGCCTTGCTGGAGATTCCGATGTCGGGGTGGACCTGCTTGAGGACCTTGAAGATGTAGATCTTGTAAGTCTCGATGCTCTTCTTCGTTCTCTTCTTCTTCTTGTCTCCGGCAGCGGCGCCACCCTCTTTGGGGAGCTTCTTTCCGGCCTTTGGCTTCTTCTCGGCCGGAGCTTTCTCGGCGACAGTTTTCTTCTCCTCCGCCGGTTTCTCTCCCGCTGGCTTCTTCTCCGCTGGCTTCTTCTCTGCCTTGGGTGCCATTGAAAGTTTGTAGAGAGAGAAAGGTATGCGTAGAGCCAAAAGAGTTGCTTTGACAGAGGTTGGAATGTGAGGAGATTGTAAGATGAGGAAGAAACGTAGGGCGTTTCTTATTTATAGGAGGTTGAGACTTTTTTTTATTGGAGTATGGGGTCAGGCACGGATCGATGTGTTGGCGGTTGGGGGGAACCGCTGAATTTTGTTCTGAGTTGAAGTTGGATCGACGGCTTAGAGAGAATGCGTGAATGTCAGGGTTGCGTTTTTTGGGGGTTGGTTGCAGACGTGTTGGAGATTCATTGGTTCACTAGAAGCGGCGGGGATTGATGACGTGGTGTTTTTTTTTTTTTTGTCAAGATGACGTGGTGTTTAAATAATGGGTTTTTATAAGATAAGATGATCTACACCTCTTTTAATTTATATTTAAACATCACTAACACTCCTTATAATTAAATCACCATTTATAATAAAAATATATTATCTAAAATATCAAAATTATCTCTATATAAATTTCAAACAATCTTTTTATATAAAATTCGATTAAAGTTCAAGTCGATTAAAATTCGAATTGATTAAAATTAATTTTTTTACATATTAAAATTTGATTCAAACTGATTAATTTTTTTTTTGACATATTAAAATTTGACCCTACTAAAAGACTTTTCCGTACTAAAATTTGAGCTCTACTTGAGCTGTTAGCCCCGATTAAAATTTATATTTTTTTATTTATTAAAATTCAATTCAACTTCATTAAAATTTATTTTTTATATATTAAAATTTGAATCAATTAAAATTAATATTTTTTTATGTATTAAAAATCAGACCGATTAAAATTTAATGGGAGTTGATTAAAATTTGATTTAAGCCTCAAATAGAATTTTAGGCTCAAATCAAATTTTAATATGTAAAAAAAATATAATTTTTAATAGACTTAAATTTAGTATATAAAAAATAAATTTTATTCAGCCTGAATTTTAATATGTACAAAAAATTAAAAAATAAAGAGGATTTCATTAAAGATATACCTATGCAGAGGGGTGTAAAGATATACCTAACATATATCATGGGTAATTTAATAAAAGTACATTCTAATTAACACTTTTTATCTGATAATGGTTGTCATTAAAAATTTGAAAAATAAAAAATATGTCTTTAAATATATGATAAACTAGAAATAATATGACTGAAATTTTCTCTGAATTTTATGTCCAACTCCAACCTCTTACCAACTTGGAAAGGTTGGGAAAAGGATATGATATACCATCTCATCTTATCAAACTATCAAATTAATGTAAGTATAAATAACTAGTTCAAATAAAATAAATTGAGAGATAAAAACAATACAGAGATAAAGATGGAGATGTACATTTCATTAGAAAATTTTCAATCACACTCCTAGTTTACTACATCTTGAAAGATATTTCTTTTATTATCTAAAATATCACTGACACCCCTACTGTTAAATCACAATTTTTAACAAAAACAATTTCATATAAAATAGCAAAATTGCCCATATATAAACATCAAATAATATTTCTTCATAAAATTCGGAACAATTAAAATTTAATTCTTTATATATTAAAATTTGAGCTAATTAAAATTTATTTTTCTATATATTAAAATCTGAGTCAATTAAAATTCGATTTGAATTGATTACATTTTGTTTACGTATCAAAATTTAAGTCGATTTGAGCTCAACCAGAGTTGTTAGTGCCGCTTAAAATTCGATTCAAGTTGATTAAAATTTATATTTTTTTACGTATTAAAATTCGGCTCGGTTAAAATTCAATGCGTATTGATTAAAATTTGATTCAAGTCGATTAAAAATAAATTTTAATCTGCTCAAATTGAATTTTAATCGACCCAAATTTTAAAACGCAAAAAAAATTATAAAACAAAGAAAATCTCATTGAAGATATACCTATCTAGAAGGGGTATGAATTAAGTTTTTTTCTAAAATATGTCAATAGTAATTTCATAAAATTGTATTATATTTAAATCATTTAATCTGACAGTGGGTGTCAGTGAATATTCAAAAAATAAAAGAGTGTCCTTAAAGATATGATAAAAATTTTCTTATTTTATTCAACTAGAAATAGCTTGTGTCTGAAGGCACTATGTACTATTTTTTTTTAAAGTGGTGCAACACAAGGACTTCTCAGGGGTCACCCATCCTAGTACTACTCTCGCTCAAGCACGCTTAACTACGGAGTTTTGATGGTACTATGTATTAAACAAAGAAATCACAAATAATTGTATGTGTGTTAAGGCAATGTATAACACAAAAAAAATGACTAATTACAAAAATGAGAACCCCCCATAAAGCGGCAATCAAATTGTGTTGTATCATAATATTTTGCATTATTTCAAATTAATGTGAAAAACCCCTCATTCGTAACACAACCAATTTAGTTAATCATGTCAATTAACCTAACACTAACATCACTTGCTTATAACACAATTAAATCAAACACAACTTATATGTTATTTGAAATACGTAGTTCATGTCTGTTTTGATATATAATAATTATCGTTGGATGTCTAAAACATAATAAAAAGAATCATCGTTGTGAACATAAGCAATTAGATATAATTTCTTAATTGTTGAATTCGACATTCTTATCACTTGAGGTTCTGTATTTTCTTTTCCTTTACCAGAAGAACCTACTTTTTCTTTTCCTTTAGAGTTAGCGGTCACCATGGCAGTTGCCTTTCTTTTTTCCTTTTAACAAAACAATATGTGTAAGTTAAAAACCATTATAGTTAAAAATCATAATGCATATATCATTATATTTAAATTTCTTGTCACCATTTCAGATATGTGAAGGCGGTTGACCTCACACATTCATCACGAATTACAACGCCTACATTGTTTTTCTGAAGTAACTGGACCTAGAAATTCAAAAAAATGTAAAGCTAAATTGAGTGATATGAAATAAGAAGTAATAAATGAGTCATAAGAAAATCGACTTACTGTAAGACCTAGGTTATTATCCATTTGTTAAAAGATGGTTAAAAAAATTATAATTAGTGAAGATTATATATTATGAAAGGTTGTAAAAGAAATCTATTAGAGAAAGATCTTACATGGCCAAAAATAGTAATGTTGTTCTTGACACCAATGGATGGTGGTGTCGATTGCATCGAAGTGTCTTCAACAAAATTGCTTTTCATAAAAATTATGTGAAGGATTTTCTCAAAGCATTATCGGTAGAGATGATGACCCGAAGACATTTGTTTGAATAGCTTGTTTTGCTAGAAACTCAAGATTTTAGTAATAGTAGATAAATTTGTTAGTAAACAAATCAATAGCATAAACAAATCTCTAGTGATAGTAGATAAAACAATAGTAAAAATCATGAATATTAAACAAATCTGGAATATTGTTCAGCGAATATAGTAACAGCGAGCGAAAAAAAGGGGGTAGCAGCAACCGCAAACGAAATCCTAATTCAAGAATTGAAATTACCCCCAATATCACGTATGAAACAATATCTGCATCAATATATTAGAGAAAATTGAATCAACAATCATAGAATTCACTCAAGGCCAAAACCAAAAATCAATAAGTATCTTGAACCCAAAACCAAAACTATCTATTTAACATATCTACACAATCAAGTTTAGAACAAAAAAATCCCAAATGTAGTTTCTAAATATACATTCGATTTTTCTCAGCACAAATTGCATTAATAAATTTAGTACGCTAGTTAATTCCGGGTGCACCATATTCACGAATTTATATACATTCGAGGTTAATTGCAACAATTTGAATTTCTAATGAGAACTTCTATTATGCAAACCCAATGAAACTATGGACGAACTGTGCGTATGTGCGTGTCTGTAACTGTGAAAGTGCGCATGTGAGAGAATGTGAATGTCCCATATCTGCTTGTGCCTGCTTGTGTATAGCCGAATCAACTGTGTATGTGTGTGTCACACAGAGTGTGTGTGTGTGTATGTGTGAGAGTGTGTGTGTTTGCAGTACTAGTCTGTGCGTGTGCGAGTATATGTGACCGTGAGTGTGCATGTGCATTTGTTGCAGAACTGGGTATGCATGGGAGAGAGAGAGAGAGAGAGAGTATCTTGTTGTGTGTGAATATTCGTGTGTTGCAGAATGAAGAAGAATGAAGGATAAGAAGAGAGGATACCTGACTAGCGATGACTCTCCACTGCGAACAGAGGTATGAAGACAAATTGCGGCGATCAGGGGGAAAACGCCCAGAGAGGTTTGTGGGATTCGAGTATCGCGTATTTCCAAAATGGGTAAGGAATGAAATTTGATTAATAATCCTAAAATTTTTGCTAGTCAATCATTAATGCGGATCATCAAATGATCTAATCAAATTATGGAAAGACATTCATATAGACATTTTATCAAACACATGTTATGTTATAAATTATATCAAACTAAAACAATTGAATACAAAAGATCCAACCCTTTCACTCGATTATTTTTTGATCAAAATCCAACAATGGAAAAAAATTGAAAACAAACAAAATTGAAAAACCATAGCATAAATAAACATAATGAGGCCCAAAATAATGGGCATATATATCAGAGTTGATAAAATCAACAAAATTCTTAGAATCTTGAATGGAAGAAACTCATCTCAGTCTACCTAAAATCAATAGATCACATAAATGATTTGAGGTAAAGACAACAAAGACTACCAAGCATGAATAAGACAAAATGAATAACAAAGAGTTTAGTGGAGTATAGCAAACAGAGAAATACAACAAAAAAACTAAAAATCGAAGCATACGGGAATTCAAAGTGCAATAGCAAAAGTAAACCCAAACTTGACCTTAGGGACTCCAAGAAGCAGAAGTGAACACAGTAGGATTTGAGTGCATGTGTGAGTATTTTTGTTTTCTGTGTGTGTTTTCTGTGTAGAGAGAGAAAAGAAGAGGCGTGACTGAGAGATAAGACTAAGGGAGGGGGGAGAGAGAGACATCGTGAGAGAGAGAGGTATATGAGCAATAGGAGTCTATAGTTGTATATGAGATAAAATTGGGAGTGTGAGATTAGGGGAGAGAGAGAGAGAGGCATGAGTTAGGAAATATTGTTGGGTGAGAAAACAAAATTCAGTACTCACTGTAGACCGTTAG